TGAAATCAATTCAGATTCTTACATGTTCTGTGTGGATTTGCCCGCAATTACAAGGATTCTCAGATTACTGTGGTGCCAGCACTCCATTGGGCACTTGCTAATCAGAATGTGGCAACCATGTGGAGATGGAGGGCTGCGAGGGTTTCTACACTGTTGGCTGTGCTGGCAAGCACTGATGCTCCCATTCCCTCCAATGCAATCTCTCTTGTTTCTTTTCCTCATGTTTCTCTCTCCCAAAACGGCCCTTAGTGACGTGTAAACGCACCCAATCATTGGTCACCACTCAAGTTTTCGGATATCTTGGAGCATGGAAGCCAATGAGACGTGTACATTGCTACCAAAGTGTTCAAACTTCGAATGGTGTCCAAACTTCAGAACCGGGATCTAAATCTTTCCTTATGGACCACGCATTTCCGCAACCAGCAAAACCCCACTTTTAATTTATTTTCACTCGAAGAGACTCACGCCCCTTAGCGTAATAGGAGCCACTGTCCTCGTGCTCTTTCGCAAGCGCATGCAGCCACGACTGCACCTAGCACCTAAACCGGCCGACGTCCTTTGACATGGGAGACCGCATTGAACCTCATGCAGGAGCGCCGGACATGTGGCACGCGAGGCTTGCGCACGTCGACGTCGACGCGATAAAGAGCTCGGCGAAGCACGAGGTTGTTGCCGGCCTGGACATCAAGCCATCTGTCAGCGCCGACCTGCCGTGTGTCTCCTACGTCAGCGGCAAGCTGGCGCGGCAAACCTTCCCCGAGAAAGGCTCGGACGCCGAGGAAGTTCTGGCCGCCGAGCACATTGACTTGTGTGGGACGTTTCAAGTGGCCGCCAAGGATGGCAGCCTCTACTTCCTTCTGCTGAAGACCACAAAATATGCTACGTGTGGGTGAGGCTGGTCGCCAAGAAGTGTGACATGCTGCTGGTGTTCTAGAAATGGCTGTCGGTGGTGGAGCGACTTAACAAGAAGTCGGTGTTCATGCTCCCCTCTGCGGTGGTGAGTTTCTTAAAAAGGCTTTCACAAACTTCGTCGACGGAATAACGATCCTTCACGACCTGTCCTGCCCGTACACTCCGCTGCAGAACGACATGGTGGAGTGGAGATGCGTACGATCGTTGAGGCCGTGCGGACGATGCTGCTTCACATGGGCATGAAGCATGACTGATGGCACCTTGCCCTGCAACAGGCCATCTAGGTGCGCAACCAAGGACGACGCTGCACCAATTGCTGACCGACAAGAAGCCCGCCCTCACCCTGGCTCACGTATGGGGCTGCATGGTGCAGCTCATGGTGCCCGAGAAGTAGCGCGGTGGGAAGCTGGCACTGAACGCCCGGTGGGGTCTCCACCTGAGTATGTCGCTGGCGAGCAAGGACTGGGAGGTGCTCGACTTGACAGACAACAAGGTGGTTACCACGGTTGAGGTGATCTTCTACAAGACTCTGTACAGCGGTAGTGAGCTAGACAACGGGGGTTGGCACGAACTACTAGGAGTGATCGTAGCTTTGCCTTATTCCTGTCAAAATAGTAGCTAAGGCTAAGAAGCCATGGCTAGGTTTAGGGTACACGAAAGAGAAATGAAAGAAGAGAAGTGATGTGTTCACTATAGGCTCAAGGGTACATATAGCAAACAAAGCTAGCAAGGTGCACCACTAACAATGTAACACTACACTAACTATTGCTACAAGCAGTTTATATAAGAAATGTATTTCAACACACCCCCTAAGCTGCTTGCAGCAGGAAGCCAATGCAAAGACACCCCCTGAAGGGGTACACCAAGCGCAGCAGAAGGAGAGAGCAAGTGAGGAGGAGGCGGGACTGTGAGAGGAGTGGAGATAGGAGGCGACGGGTGAAGCCGCAGACACACGGGCAACAGGAGAGGCGCGCACAGTGGCTACCGGAGCAAGGGCCCCGGTCTACAGGAGTAACTAGCTCCGCAGCTAAGACGAGCGGCAGGAGCAACGGACCCACAGGCGACTGGCGCAGCGACTGGCTCGCTGGGCTACGGGAGCAAGGGCCCCGGACTACTGGCGCTGCTGACGACACGACGGCTGCCTCCGCTCAACCTCCCCCACTTGTCCCACACTCATCACCCCCACACCCACCACCCCCATACCCATCACCCCCACACCCGCCACCCCCATACACGTCACCCCCATACCCTGAGTGTGCGGTAAGCGAGCTCAGGTGTGCGCGAAGCGTGCACAAGCGTGCGGGGAGCGAACTCGGGTGTGCGGTAAGCTAACTCAGGTGTGCGGGGAGGGGGGCCGCAAGGCGACACGCGGGTCCACGAAGCGGCGCACGGGTCCCACAGGGTGGCGCGCCGGGATGGCGAAGGGCCGCGCGCGGGTCCCTAGGGCGACGCAACGGGATCGCGGGGGGTGCACGCGGGTCCCCAGGGGCGACGCGACGGTCGACGGGGTGGACGCGCGGTTCTCCGGGGGCGGTGCGACGGTCGACGACGAGGGATGCGCGGGTCCCTGGGTGACACGACGGTCGACGGGGAGGGACCCGCGGGTCCTCGGGGTGACGCGTGAGGCAGAAAACCGCCGTGCGCCCCGAGCGCGCGGTGGGCAGAAAACCGCCATGCGCCCCGAGCACGTGGCGGGAAGAAAATAAACGTCGCACGCCACGGGGCGCGCGACAGACAGGATAGCAGCGGAAGCAGGTGGGCCCACAGGCCAGGAGCGTACTAGCTCTGATAGCATGTTAAGAATCTAGCGAGGCTTAGGGCTTGCACTTGGTGCTTGGTGCTTGCATAATCACAGAAGAAATCGGCAAGAGTTTCCACTAGCAAAGTCGAAAATTAGTTGAATAAGCAATGACAACAATGACTACATCAGGCACCTAGCAACCCTGCAGCTAGCCTAGTCGACCGCCACCACAGCTTGGTCGACCGCCTGCCAGCGTTGCGTAGAGGAGCCGCGCCAGCACTGCACCACGGCGACCTTCCAACAGTGCAGGTCGACGGCGTGCCAGCGCTGCAGCAATGCGGCTGTCCAGCGTTGCACCCGTAGATGGCAGCAGTGCGCACGCTCGCAGGTGCGCGCAAACGATTGGCCCGACTTGCATCGTTGTGCATCCATCGGCTGTTGTCTGCGCCTGACGAGCCACATCGACTTCGTGATACCAGCCCAAAGTCGCCTTCGCCATCGCGACCTCGACGACATTCGCATGTCTCCGCAGAACTCGTCGAGCAGGTTACCCGGTCGACCTGGTCGACCACCAGGTGCTTCCGGTCGACCAGAACTGCCTTTGGTCGACCACCAGGTGCCTTTGGTCGACCACCAGGTGGCTGTGGTCAACCATAGCTTCTGTCAAGCTACCCCCTGGTCGACGGACCCATTCCATTGACCAGAACCGTCAGCGGTTGTTGCTGAGCTCCCCTTGTCGACCGCTGCTCACTTGCAGGTCGACAGACTGCTCCGTCGACCTCCCGGTCGAACTGCAGGTTGACTGAGTGCTTCGTCGACCCCTCGGTCGAACTGCCCCTCCTGGTCAACGGCCCACCAGTCGCCCAGACCAGTCAGTTGCGGCTGTCATTTCTGTAGGCTGTAGGCTGTAGTGGGGCACTTCTTATGGGGTACAGTACTATTAGGTTTTGCCTATACAAACCTTGTACTATCCTGTTTCTAGCCATCCTCGTTTCCTACTTTGTGAATGGTTTCAGAGCAGGTTCCCTAGTGGGAACGTTTTTTTTTGAAGGGCCCACCGTGCTAGTTTTTTTTTTTACTGCCCTGCCCGAAGCGCGCGTCGTGCCTGCCTCGCCTGCGCCGTCGTGCGCTCTGCCTTAGTGCCGCCCTTAGCGGCCCTGCCCTTGCGGCCCGTCGCGCCCTTACCCCAACGGCCCGTCGAGGCCCTTTTCTCGCCGCCGCGGCCCGTCCTAGCCGTAGTCGCCGCCCTTAGCGGCCCGCCTCAGCCGTTGACGCGGCCGTGCCCTACCCGCCTGCTGCGGCCTGCCCTCGCTACCCGCACGGCCCTGCCCTGCCGCCTCTCGTTGCGGCCCTGCTTTGCCGCGGCCTCGACGCGGCCCTCCCCTGCAGCCGCAGTGAAGCGGCCCTGCCCTACTGCCACCCGGTCGCGGCCCTGCTCTCCCGCCGCCTAGTCGCGGCCCTGCCCTGCCGCCTCATTGCGGCCCCTGCCCTGCCAGTCGTGGCCCTGCTCTGCGGGCTCGTTGCGGCCCTGCTCTACCGGCTCATCGCGGCCCCTGCCCTGCCAGTCGCGGCCCTGCCCTACTCCCTCCCCTGGAAAGCGCACCAACACACCCGCGCCAACCTGCCGAGCGCGCGTCGCGCCTGCCTCGCCTGCGCCGTCGCGCGCTCTGCCTTAGTGCCGCCCTTAGCGGCCCTGCCCTTGCGGCCCGTCGCGCCCTTACCCCAACGGCCCGTCGAGGCCCTATTCTCGCCGCCGCGGCCTGTCCTAGCCGTAGTCGCCGCCCTTAGCGGCCCGCCTCAGCCGTCGTCGCAGCCCTGCCCTACCCACCTGCTGCGGCCTGCTCTCGCTACCCGCACGGCCCTGCCCTGCCGCCTCTCGTTGCGGCCCTGCTTTGCCGCGGCCTCGACGCGGCCCTCCCCTGCAGCCGCAGTGAAGCGGCCCTGCCCTACTGCCACCCGGTCGCGGCCCTGCTCTCCCGCCGCCTAGTCGCGGCCCTGCCCTGCCGCCTCATTGCGGCCCTTGCCCTGCCAGTCGCGGTCCTGCTCTGCCGGCTCGTCACGGCCCTGCTCTGCCGGCTCGTCGCGGCCCCTGCCCTGCCAGTCGCGGCCCTGCCCTACTCCCTCCCCTGGTAAGCGCATCAACCCACCCGCACCAACCTGCCGAGCCGCGTCGCCCTGCCGAGCCGCGTCGCCCTGCCGAGCCGCGCCACCCTGCCGAGCCACGCCGCCCTGCCGAGCCGCGGTGCCCTGCCGAGCCGCGCCGCCCTGCCGAGCTGCGCCGCCCTACTGAACTGCTACTGCTACTGCTACTTCTGCTGCTGCAACTAATTCTCCTACTACTGCCGCCATGGCTAACCCTAGTGTTCTTACCTTCGATGCTGAAGGTCGAGCGGTTGATTTCGAGGTCTGGGTCGATGAACTGCAGCTCTTTCTGCAGTGCGACTCTAGGGACGGAGTCTCACTGTTCGATCACACGTCCAGCGTCTCTGTTGCACCTGCTGCCGTTGCTGACAGTGCAGTTCGCTCGCAGTGGACCACGCGTGATGCTGCTGCTCGTCTTGCTGTTTGTAGTCACCTGCCGTCAGCTGAGCGCGCGCAATTTAGCCAGTACAAGACTGCTAAGACTCTGTATGACGCTGTTGTTGCGCACTACTCCTCCCCTACCTTTGCTGCCCTCAGCCGCCTCATGCTGCTGTACCTGTTTCCTGACCTTGCCGCTTTTGCCACAGTTGCTGACCTCATTAGCCACCTCCGCACCAGTGACACCCGCTACCGCGCTGCGCATCCTGCCAAGTTCTGCGCCAAGAACCCCCCCCCTATGTACATCACCCTCAACTACCTCGTCACCCGACTCCCTGACTCCCTTCGCCCAGTCAGGGACCACTTCCTCTCCCTTTGCCCCACCACGCTCACCGTTGACCTCCTCGAGGAGCACCTCCTTGCAGCTGAGAAGAGTATAGTCGCTGTAGGAGCCTCTCGTGGTGACCCTCGTGCCCCTTTCTTTGAGGGGTGCTCCCCTGTCCCCCTTTTGCCCTCTGTTGCAACTGCTGCTGCTTTTGACCTCGTTGGCACCGAGTCGGTCGGAGCTGCGTCTGCTCCTAGTGGGAGACGCCGCAGCGGTAAGGGCAAGGGGGGCAAGGGTTGTGAAGGGGATGGCGGGTGAGGCGGTGGTGGCGGCGGTGGTGGCGGTGGAGGAGGTGGAGGGGGTGGGGGTGGAGGTGGGGGTGGCGGCGGGAGTGGGGGCTTCGGTGGCGGTGGTGGAGGTGGAGGCGGCGACGGCAGCGGGAGTGGGGGTGGAGGCGGCGACGGCAGCGGCAGTGGGGGTGGAGGCGGCGGTGGTGCTAGTCGAGGTGGAGCTGTGCAGCGGGGAGGCTTTGGCGGTGGCCCGCGCTAGCAGCAGCAGCGCTCTCGTGAGACCTCGTCGCCCCAGCAGCTTCGTGAGTGGTACGCTGGGCATGGGAGGTCTGGGGGTGCTGGTCACTGCGCTTACATTCTACACACCGATGAGCGCAGCGGGGAGACGTGCGGGCTGCCGCACGCTACCCACCACTGCTTCGGCCGTCTGACTAACGCTTGGCGTGCACAGTTTCCTGACGCCACTGATTTGCTTAGGTCGGGGGTTGCTATCTTTGATCTTAATTATGATGCTATCTTTGCTGCTATGTATGTTGTGACTATTAGTGCTGAGGGTGACTGTTACCTTTGTGTTCCGCCCGACCCAGGCATTGAGACTGCTCCTCTAGGTGCTAGCAAGTCTGCCGCTCCAGGTGCTGGTGAGGCTGCTCTCTCAGGTACCGCGTCGGCTCAGGTCTTGCACACTTTCACCCTTGACTCAGGTGCTTCCCGTTCCTTCTTTCGCGACTGCACCACACTCACGCCGCTCAGCCGGCCAGTGGCAGTCTCCCTGGCTGACCCCTCTAGGGGTCCGGTCCTTGCGCACTTCTCCACAGTTCTGCCGTGTCTGGCGGTCCCGTCTGGCTCCTTGTCCGGTCTCCACCTCCCCCCGTTCTCCACGAACTTGGTGAGTGGAGCTGATCTTCAGGACATGTGGGTTGACCAGTTCACTCCTGGAGGTCAGCGGGTGATCCACTGTACGTGTACACGGACGGGCTGGCACCTGGCCTTATTTACTCATCAGCCTGTACACCCTGACTACCGTGTCTCCCCCAGTTACTGCGTCTGGTCAGGTGTTTGCTGCAGCGTCCCGGTCTGATCCTGAGTCTGCCCCCTGCTCGTGTCGCCTCCTGTCTCACCAGTGTCAACGGGAGTGTTGTGTGGCCCCGTCCTCGCTTGGGCAGAGCCGACCTCGTGGTCGGATGTGTGGGAGTTGCAGCCAACATGCAGCAGTGGGCATGGGGGCCACTACAGGAGCGCCGAGCTGGAGGGCGCCTGGCTGGAGGGCGCCGAGCAGAAGGACACCGCCGTGGACGCCTGGTTGGCGTCCCGGACGCCTGGCCGGCGTCCTGGGAAGCTGGACGCCGAGCTGGGCGTCGCCACGACTACCCCGGCTCCTAGTCAACGTCGTGGGCGCCTGCACGGCGTCCTGGAAGGCCAGACGCCGACCTAGGCGTCTACACAGCGAGCCTAGGAGTCTGGGACGCCGCACTGGGCGTCTGCACGGCGTCCTGGGGGCCCGGACGCCGACCTGGGCGTCCTGGGGGGCCCGGACACCGACTTGGGCGTCTGGTCGGCGTCCTGGGAGGCTGGACGCCCCTCTGGAGGTTTGCTCGGCGTCCTGGGCGTCTGGACGCCGACCTGGGGGTTCGGAAGGTTTCCTGGGCGCCTAGATGGCGGACTGGGGACGCCGGGCATTGGTGGCCGGCTGCGAACTGTATTGGTTGACCGGGCGTGGTTGCCCGGTCGACCGGGATACCCGGGCGACGTGCGCGAGTGTCGCCAGGGTGGAGTCTGCGAGGCCGACCTCGGGGGTGGTATCCCGAGGTCGACGTGGCTGGCGGGCGCAGTCGCTGGTGTGGAGTCTGCCAGGCGTCTGCGCTCGGCACGTGACAAGGAAGTGCGCACCAACCAGCTGCGCGAACCTGCGAAGCACGTGCATCGTTGTCCTGCGAGTGCAACGCTGTGCAGCCGACTTGCTGCAGCGTTGGCACCCCGTGGACTGCAACGTTGGCGAACCGCTACTTTGCAACGCTGAAGCGGTGCGAGCACTGCTGCGCTGGAGCGCGGTCGACCGTGCTGCGCTGGAGGTCGACCAGAAGCCTAGCTAGCTCTGATGTAGTCAATGCTGCCAATGTTGTTGCAATCATTATTGTCATATTTTCCAAGTGAAACTCTTGCCAATTCTCCCCGTGTACTAGCAAACAACGTGAACACAATGAAACGAACGCAGAGATCACACGGGCACCCGTGCCTAGCCCGTAGTCTAGCTCCCTTAGCAGCAGTTATCTCCGCAACCAGACTCTCCACTGGCACCACTGCCTTGGTCACCCCTCCCTGCCTCGTCTCTGAGGCATGGCCTCTCGTGTCCTTGTCACTGGTCTTCCCCGGTCACTCCCTCCCCTTCCCCCGGGGCCTGCCCCTATTTGCGTTCCTTGCGTTGAGGGGCGGCAGCGCGCCGCTCCTCACTCCTCCGAGTTCCCTCCTACGGAGGCTCCCCTGCAGACTCTCCACATCAAAATGGGATTGTTGTGTGCCGCATTGGCATGGTCATGGATGTCGCTCGTGTTATGTGATGCTATCACTTGCATTCACGTCTCTCTGCCTCCCATCACATGTTCGTGCGTTACATGCGCGGTGTGAGCGTGTGCAAGAATTTGTGTTCGATGTGGTTTGGTTTTTCTGAGTGTGTGTGAATGTTATTTGGCTTGGGCAGATATCTGAAGTGACTCCTCTGCTCAAGAGCTTTCCGACGAACCAAGTATCGCTTCAATCGGAGCACGAACAAGAAAGTTACGAAAGTTGGAAGTTTGTATGCTTTTGATATTTGGTTGTGGTGACTATGGGAAGTTGTGGGGTTGACTCCATAAGGGGTATAGACTTTTGGGGGTTGGGAAATTCGTCAACATCACTGTAGATGCTGCCAATTGAGAAAACTGACACGAGGATGAATGAACTATGAACGAAATGAGTACAAGTACTAACCCTAATTGGGTTGTACCCCTTATGGGCTACCCCACTATAGCCTACACAATAAGCACAAGCTATATGTTCTGACACACCCCCATTGGCAAAGTGGGGGAGAACAAGGGGTCACAAGACCAGTCAAGCAAAGCAAAGCAAAGCAAGCTCAGGGTGGATCACAAAGTCACCACACATTCTGAGCACAAGTTCAAGGCCACAAGGCCAGTTCACATGCAGGAGTACATATATATATAAAAGGCTAGACAAGCAAGAGCAGGTATATATATATGTAACAGTACAAGCAAGGTCAAGAGGTGAGCAAGTGAGGCAAGACAGGCACAAGACCCAACTGCGTGCAAAAGCGCTGATGATCACAAGGCGCAAGTGCCTTGGTGAAGACATCAGCAGTGTTGGCCTCAGAGGCCACGTACGAAAGCCGCAACTGACCACGCTGCAGTAGCTCACGAGCAAGGAAGTAGCGAAGAGCAATGTGCTTTGTTCTGTGCTCCAGTCTCTGCTCTCGACACAAGGCCAGCATGGCCTTGTTGTCTACGTACAGAACTGGAGGAGAACGAGGCGACTCTCCGAGGTCAGTCAGCAGGTAGGTGAGCCAGCGAAGCTCCTGTGCAGCCATGGCCCCGGCGTAGATCTCAGCCTCACAACTGGAGCCGAGAACAGAAGACGAGCGAGTAGCCCGCCACGAGACAGAGCCGGAACCAAGGCTGAAGGTGTAACCCTGTGACGACCACTGCGTAGCCTGATCGTCAGCCCAAGAAGCGTCTGCGTGCCCAGTGAGGACCACTAGACTGCGCCCTCCAAGAAATAGCCCCATGCCCGACGTACTACACAAGTAGCGCAACACCCTCTTCGCTGCAGCCATGTGCTCTGGTCGGTGTCTCCCGGGAGCAACATAGCGTGCGAGAATGCTAAGAGGGTATGCAAGGTCAGGTCGTGTGCAGGTCATCAGGTACATGAGGCTGCCAACAAGCTCTGGATACGGGCCACTCGACTCTACGGACTCATCCGAAGAGAGAGCTGAGAGCGAGTGGCGAGTAGGCAGAGGAGTGGCCTGAGGCGAGGAGTACGTGAAGCCGAAGCGCTGAAGGACCTGCTGCACCATGTGTGACTGAGTCAGGGTAATGGTGCGGCGTGCTCTGTCCCGGGTGATCTGCAAGCCAAGGTAGCTGCGCAGTTCACCCAGGTCTGTGCACGTGTGTCTCTTCTGCAGCTCGGACTTCACGTAGACGAGTCCAGCAGTGTCAGCTGTGGCAAAGACCAAGTCGTCGACGTACACGAGGATGTAGAACGGCGGCAGAGAGGTGTCGGTGCGCAGAAACAACGACGGGTCAGCAGTAGAAGGAGCAAACCCAAGAGCCGTAAGCGTAGTCCTCAGTGTGTCGTGCCACTCACGTGGCGCCTGGCGGAGACCGTAGACTCGACGCCGGAGACTCCACTGGGTACCAGGAGGGAAAGACCCAGTGAAGCCAGGTGGGCGGCGCAGCCAGATCTCCTCGTGCAGGCTGCCCTGCAAGAAAGCTGTGCTGAAGTCGAGAGAGTGCAGCTCGTAGTCACGGTGAGCAGCAACGTGCAGCAGTACCCGAAGAGTGGTCATCTTCGGGGTGGGAGAGAAGGTCTGAAAGTAGTCAACTCCCTGCCGCTGACTGAAGCCACGAGCCACGTAACGCGCCTTGAAGACAGGCGGAGAACCCGGCGGCCGCTTCACCCTGAAGATCCACATGCCACTGACGATGTTCGCCCCAGGAGGGGGGACAGCGTCAACGTAGGTGCCTGTGGACTTCTAGGAAGACATCTCTGCATCCATAGCTGCTTGCCACTGAGAAGATTAGGGACCCTCTATCGCCTCCGCGTAAGAGCGCGGAGTCGGGATGTGAAGTGCATCCGGGTCTCCCTCAGGGGTAAGCAGTACGGACACGAGATGAGGTGAAGCAGCGACCAAGCACTGGAACTCCTCCTGCCTGTCCTCAAGGACGTCCGTGCCAAGGGCACACTCACCCCCGACGGACGGAGGACAGACAGACTCAGACTCAGCAACAAGACTGGCGGCGTAGTCTAGACGACAACGAGCAGCAAAGTCGACGAGCTCAGCAACTAGGGCAGACGCAGCAGTGGACTCAAAGGAAGGGTTAGTGACAACAGTAGCAAGGAGACCTGTGACAGTAGGACTGGCAGCACGAAGAGAGTCCGACTACGGGTCGACAAGAGCAGGAAGAGAAGACTCAGGAGGAGAAGGCAAAGGGGCACGCAGAGGAGCAGTGGACGGACGTAGAGACATCCGGTGCGTGCCAGGGTCAGGAGGAGGACGCTGACGCGAACCACGACCACTAGCGCGAGCAGTACGGACAGGCGACGCAGGGCGAGACGCAGGCTCACGACGCTCAGCAAGACCTCCAGTAGGACCAGTGTAGGGAGAAGGAGCAGGTAGTGGGGAGGACGGCTGTAACTGTAATTGTGACAGGACAGGCTATGGACACTCTAAGGGAGGAGGAGGACCAGTAGAAGGCGGGAGACCAAGAACATGCTGAAGGAGCGGAACGAAGTACGGCCGAGGCCGCGCGGCGACTCCAGATACAGCAGGGACAGCACTAGTACCCCCAGCGGCAGCACCAACACCAGCAGCACCTCCAGCTCTTGTACCTCCAGCAGCACCAGGAGCACCCTCAGCAGGACCGCCTCCAAGACCAACAGCAGTAGCCTCCGCGCCAACACCCGAAACAGCTCCCGCTCCAGAAGTACGCGCAGGCCGAGCAGCGCCAGTACTCCGAGTACGAGCACCTCCGGGACCCGCGGCAGCAGCACCCACAGCAGCAGCAAAACCTCCAGTACCCTCAGCACCTCCAGCTCCAGCAGCTCGCCTCCAGCGCCGGGCAAACCACTCACGCAGCTCCTGTGGAGAGAATGGCTCCCGGCGAGACGAAGCACCCGGAGAACCGCCAGGCTCAGCACCGCCAGACGCCCCACGAGCAGGCCCAGCTCCCTCAGGATCAGCACCTCCAGGCGTAGCACCCCCAGGCTCAGTACCCCCAGGCTCAGCACCCCCAGGCGTAGCACCCCCAGGCTCAGCACCCCCAGACTCAGCACCTCCAGGCTCAGCACCCCCAATCGTAGTACCCTCAG